GCACCATTTTACACTCCCACCAACTGTGAATAAGGGTTTCAATCTCTCCACAACCTCGCCAGCATTTGTTGTTAGCTGTTCTGTTAAATTTTGCTATTCTTACTGGGGTGAGATGATATCTCACAGTTGTCTTGATTTGCATCTCTCTCAGGGCTAGGGATTTTGAACATTTCTTCACATGCTTGTTGGCCATCTGAATATCTTCTTTGGTGAAGTGTCTGTTCATATCCTGTGCCCCTTTTTCTATTGGAGTATTTACCCTTATCTTGTTGTGGTGCTCAAGTATATTATAAATTCTAGATGTAAGTACCTTATCTGACATGGCATTACCAAAGACTTTTTCCCAGTCTGTGGCTTCCCTTTTTACCCTGTTGGAGAAGTTTTTGGATGTGCATAGGGATTTGATTTTTAGCAGGTCCCATTCATCTATTCTATCTTCTCCTGGTTCTAGATTTTTCAGGATACTTGGAAGACTCTTTATATCGTGGATTAGGACTACTAAAGTTCTTCCAAGCTTTTCTTGAATGAAGTTTATAGTCCTTGGTTTTAGTCCAAGGTCTATGATCCACCTTGAGTTGGTTTTTGTATATGGAGTGACGTGTGGATCTTGTTTAATTTTTATGCAGATATTTTTCCAACACCATTTGTTAAAAAGGCTGTCATTTCCCCACCTAACTGATTTCATCTCCTTGTCAAAAATCAGTCGACCATAAATAGATGGATTGATTTCAGGATTCTCAATTCTATTCCATTGATCTATGTGTCTGTCATTGTACCAGTACCATGCTGTTTTAACTACCACAGCCATGTAGTAGGATTTGAAATCAGGGAGTGAAATGTCTCCTACCTTTTTTCTGTTCTTAAGGAGTGCTTTGTTTATTTGGGGCTTCTTTCCATTCCAAATGAAGCTGGAGATTGTCTTTTCCATCTTATTGAAGAATGGGATTGGTATTTGTATTGGGATTGCATTGAACGTGTATATTGCCTTTGGTAGTATTGCCATTTTGACAACATTGCATCTTCCTATCCATGAGCAAGGAATATTCTTTCACTTTTCCAGGTCTCTTTTTGTTTCTTGTAGTAATGTTTTGTAATTTTCTTTGAATAGATCCTTTGTGCTTCTAGTTATATTTACTCCCAAATATTTTATCTTGTGATTAGCTGTTGCAAAGGGTATTGTTTTC